AAATCCCACCCAGCCTCAGAGCTGGCTGTCATCACCAAACAAATGGCAATTACCTCTAGAGCACCAGGGAAGTTTAGCTGGGGAGAGTTCACCGGTGACCTGCCCATCTCTCTCGGGACACCCCAAAATGAAAAGCATCTGAAGACCGTCGAGAGAACTGTCATTCGGGAGTAATCCCACCAGGATGGGCCTTATACATAGGGCCTGGTGAGATCTGAGGAGCCCCAGACACTCTCTGTGCCCGAATCTCCTACCCCTACTCCTTGTCACTGGGCCTGATATCCCAAATGAGATCTCATTCCACCAGCGGTTATGAGCGCCTACCATTTTCCAGGCATGGAGCTGAGCATTGGGCTTAATATCTTTGGGTTATAATTACCCTCTCTAAGCATTTTCTTTTGAAATGCAAATACCCTCTGAGAAGGGCAATGCGTTAACTCACTAATACCCCTGAATTCATTGGGGTTTTCTTTTTTAAAACCAGTAAAGAAAGCCTGGACATCTTTAGCAAAAAAAGGGGACCTAAAGTTCAGAGGGCAAGGTGACTGCAGAACTAAGGAGCAAGACAGAGCAAGAACTGGGCCTTTTTCTTCAGCAGATGTCTAAGGCCACCTCTCCTCCTTCCTTTATTCTTTCAACAAGACCAGCACACCTGCTGTCCCCACAAGCAGCTGCGGAGCCCGTAAGTGCAGCTGGTGAGGTTAGCTGGAGTCAAGAGAGCAGCCAGAGGCTGGGAGGCCTTGGCCCCACTGCAGAGGGGTCGGGCCTGCCTTTCACCATCTCCTGAGTGAGGACGCCCTGAACCAGTGCCTACTCGCCCTCCAACAAGTCCAGGGCTTGGAGTTCAGGTAATTAGGCCCTTGGCAATCTCACCTGAGCCCGCCAATAAAACAGACAATCATCCCCAGCCCCTGTTCAGGAGGGAGAGAGGAAAGGAGGAGAAAGGGAAGAAGAGACTTTTTTTCTATGCTGCATTCAAAGCTTGGCAACCAGCAGGGAGAATGCTATTATTCTATAAGCAGCCACTTCTAACACCCTACCCCCATTACATACCCAGAGTTGTCCCCTCCTGTCACAGAACCCTGGCCTCCATCTCCCATCATCATCAGTGTGACAGGGAACACCTGTGTGGGCTGCAGCCTGAACAGGAGCCAGGCAGTGAGGGCCTGTGCTTGCAGAAGCAGGCTTCCCCCAGCATGACTCATTCCATGGCAGAGGAGGGAAGGAAGGGCACCAGAATCCCCCACCCCACGCTGAGAGCCACAGCCACCCTCCAGAAAGGTCTAGGAGGATGCTCCAGAGCATTAAAGAGCCTCTGAGTGACTTCTGTGAGCCCTGCCTCATTCCACCAGCTGCTACTGAGGGCTCCGTCCTTACCTGGGCTCCTGCAGACTGAAGACCATTTCTTACCCATCTCTATATTTGTGAAGTGACCAGCAGGCACCTGGCACACAAATAGGACTTTCTTTTTTCCCCTAAATAATAAACATTAATACTTCTGCTATATGATCACACTGATATGGGACCGAGGTCCACACCTGGCCCTTTTTACTCCCTACGTCATTTATACTCATTTCTAAGACACAAGCACAACGGGCTTTTCTGCCACATGGCAGGGTGGACGAGAATACAATTGAACAGTAGTAATTGCCATTTAGTGAGTGCTTGCTAGGGCTCTAGCCTAAGTGTTCATTGAATGAGGATCATCTAAGTTAATTCTCTCTAAGGTACTATTATCCCAATTTACAGACAAGAAAACTGAGGCTGAGGAAGAACTTTGTCCAAGATCACACTGAAATTCCAATGAATACTTATTTAATTCAAGACTCTCATGTCAAGAACTAGTAGGAAGGAGAGGGAAGACATTTGTGTCCCCCCCTCCCCCAAAAAAGCTGTACAATTTCACCAACATGTAAGCAGGCTGTGGAGCAAGCTGGCCAGCCCTGCTTGGGTGTGACAAGCCCAGCTGGCCTAAAGGGGTTCGAGGGCCATCTCTAGAGAGCCTGCACTCCTCCACCTACCTTCTTTTTTGGGGGGCCCTGGAAATACTAAAGGATCCCAAATGTTCCCACTGCCTCTGCTTTCCTAACACAGGTCTCTATGGAACAAAACTGGGGATTCTAGGCTCCTCACTTTCCCCGCCTGGAGAAAGGTCTCAACAGGTGGGGAGGAGGTGCATTGTGGTGGGGTCTTCCGAAGTTGATCCGGGCGGCCTGGAGGTCTCTTACTTCCTTCCTGTCACCTGCAGAGGCTGAGCTGTGCCTCTCGCGGGGAAACGTGGGCACTGCAGTCAACACTGGGGCCTGTGATTCGCCCAAGGCCGCGGACCTCACAGTGCCTCCGGGCTCGCAGGAACCGCGGAGACCCGGCCACCTGCGGGTGCCGGCGCAACCGGAGGCGCCTCAGAGGGAGCAGGACTGGGACGAGACTCCTGGCGAATCACCGCCGCCCCCCCGCCTCACCCCTACCTCCGGGTCTACGGCCAGAGGCCGGAGCCGCTGGCTAATATTTCCCGCCCCCCAGACCGCCTCCCTAGGTGACGCTACAGCCTGTGCGGTTCCTTTAAAGGCTGCGGGTTCCGTTCTTCTTTCCTTTTCCACTGGTTGCCAAAATATGCAAATCCGGGGACCGGAATCTGCAGCCAAATCGAGAAGGAGAAGGGGCGCGGCCGGCGCGTCACCGGATCCGCTCCTTGTATGGCTCTTCCCGGCTTGGCCCGCCGCCCGGCGACCCTCCCAGCAGCCGCCAGAGCCCCTCCCGCGCCCAGCCCGGCTCACACTGACGCCCACGTCCCCTAGCCTGCCGCCCGGCCGCCCCCCCAGGGAGGTTGCCGGGGGCGGGAGGCGCTGCACGCCCTGATTCCGGCCGGAGCCGGGACCGCTGCAGAGCGCTCGCTCCCCGAGCCGCGCGGGCGGAGGAGAGCCCGGAGGCGCAGTGCCTCCCGGGTTTAGGTGTGGGGAACCTGGCGGGAGTGGCGGCAGGGGCGGGGGAGAAGGGGCTCGCGGGCGGCGGGAATCCCTCCTTTCCTAAGAACCAGAGAAGACCGGGGGAGACCGGTCCCTCCCACCCCCAGTTCTCCACCGAGTGAAATGGAGGGGAGGAGAGCGAGGTTGTCATCTACCTCCACCGCTATGTGCAGCTCGGGAGTTCCTCCCACGCGTCCCCGGCCCGCGTGGCCCTCCCACGACGCGAGGCCCGGGGATTCTCTCTTGCTCCTTGTCAACACTCCCACTCCCCCTGAGAAATGCATGTTCCCCCAACCGACTCCCCAGCGGGGGACGCGGGATTCACCTCGCCCACGCGGCCACCGAGGAGGGAATCCTCCCACGCCAAGCCGGTGTGATTCGGGGTCGCTCCCCTACGTTCCCTTCCTCTCCTACCCTTCTCCCGGGCCTGGCCGCGCGCGCCCGGGGAACAGGCCTCGGGGAACACATCAGCCGCCTCCAGAATCTGCTGCCGCTATGGGAGGTGACAGCGCTGCGGGTTGACAAACAGGCGGCCCTTGACTGCAGGGCGCCAGGGACAGCCTGTAGAAGGCGATGCGAAGGGTAGAGACTGGGGGAGGTTGCCGTAGTGTCAGACCGTGAGTTCAGCGTGCTCCTGCTGCAACTCAGTGGCGGGCCCTTCCCAAGCAGCAATAGACAGCGGCTGCGCCTGGGCCTGTTGGGCCCTCCTGCCATCCCGTGGCCAAAGGGGGTGCTTAGGAACCGTTACGGAATTTACTCAGGATTTGGTGCACGTGCTTCCTATCCACTCAACTTCACTTTCTCTTCTTCACCACTAAAACCGCACATCCTCGACCCCCAATTGTGCGGGGTACTCGCCTCCCGCGCAACCTCTCTGCAACTAGGCTCTTCCCAGCCCCAGCGTTCAGCCGGGAGTCAGCGCAGGGTCAGGGACTGAAGGAGAGGCAGGGGTGTGGGCGGCTAATCAGAGAGAGGGAGGTGCAGAAGTTCTCGGGATACTCGACCAGGCATCCCTGATGCGCTGGAAGCCCGCTCGGAGGGACGCGCTCGCGCTCCCACGGGCTGCGCTGGGGCACCGGGCGCGAGGAGGGCGGCCGCCCCAGGTCTGAGCACGCGCCTTCCGGGGTCCCCAGAAGTCCCCGGGCTGCAAAGGGACGTCGCCCGGGGCTTTCATTTCTCTGTATTACTACGAAGGGTGCTGGAGACCATCAGCAAACGAGCCCACCCCGCTCTCGCGCCCCTCCCCCACGCGTTCCCGCTGGTCCCCCTAGTACAGACCCAGAATAAACACAGACGGCGAGGGCTTTTCGAACGCGCGCAGCGCGATTTACGCTTTGCATTCGGTTACATCCCCGTTTCCTCTCTCCTCTCCAATTGTGCTTGTTTCTTCTCTTCTGTTTCTCTTTCTCTCTCTTTTTTCAAGACCCGCGAGCGGCGCGGACTCCGCTCGCCGGCTGCGGCCCGCTTCCTGCTTTCTATGTTCCATTGTGAGGAGCTTCCATTGTGACGTCGCGCCCCTTCGCTGGGCTTTGTCTGTCCATATATGGGCAGCTACGTCACGGAGCTTTCCCGGGGCTCAGATAAATAGGCTGGTGGAGTTCCCTGGCTGGGAGCTTTTGGGCAGCAGTGAGCTTGCTAGGAAGCAGCGGGGCTGGTGGTGGAGGTAGCAGCGGCGGCAGCGGCGGCGGCGGCGGCGGCGGCGGCGGCAGTGGCGGCGGTGGCGGTGGCGGATCGGGGGGTGGGGGGGCCGCCGGCGCGCGTCTGTTTGTAAGATCAATACTGAGACCGCGTCCGACCCCCTCCGCCGAGACCCCCCCACCCAGCCCCCAGCCCAACCCCCGCACACGCCCCCCACTCAAGACCCAGCCTCCTACGGCACCGGCCCGGCACCCAAGAAGATTACCCCCATTTGCCCTCTCTCCCACCCACCCCCCAAAAAGAGAAGATCCCCTCCTCTGGCCCACCCCTTCCCCTCGTCCCTCCCCCCTCCCCCCGAACTTTCCCTCTCGCATGCTTTTCCCCTGCACCACGGATCGCCTTTCGGATGCCGCTGGCCTGGAAGCTGCGTTAGGAGCGAGCGGCGGCGGCGGCGGTGGCGGCAGCTCGGGAGTGCTATGACCGGCAAACTCGCCGAGAAGCTGCCGGTGACCATGAGCAGTTTGCTAAACCAACTGCCTGACAATCTGTACCCCGAGGAGATCCCCAGCGCGCTCAACCTCTTCTCCGGCAGCAGCGATTCGGTGGCCCATTACAATCAGATGGCTACAGGTAAGGACGGCCGGGAGGCGGCGAGGTAGAAAGGAAGGAAAGGGAGAGGAAGAGGAGGGAATCAACTAGCGATGGATGGATGGATGGATGGATGGATGGATGGATGGATTAGATGGGGGCGCGCTGGGAATTTTCCGGGGGGCGAGTTGCTTTTCCCACCCACTCCCCCCGCCCTCCCCGATCGGGAAGACTCGGTTGGCGACGCCACGGTAGAGGCTTCTGTTCTCCCGGGTGGGGGCAGCCGCCGACTGGAGGGAGGTAGGTGCGAGCGGCCGTGCTCCGGGGTTCTCCACTCAGGGGGCGCGATCGCCAGGCTGCGCGCAAGGCGTGGTGCCGTCGCCCCCTTTCCCGGGAGGAGCCGAGCGTCCCTTTCACTCGAGCTCTTCCCCTTACTCCCTCAGCCCCCCACCCGGGATGGAGCCGTGTGCGGCGTGGAGTCCCCGCGGTGGGAGAGGTACTGCGACGCTACCTTTCCGGGGCGTTCAGCAAACCCGTGGGGGTGTGGGGACGGTGAGGAGAGGGAGGGGGTTCACCCCGAGCGGAGTCTGCCCCGGGGGGCGATCCCTGGGGGGAACAGCTTGGAATGAGCGGCCACTCCCGGCATGGAGACACGAGCCGGTTTTCCGCCGCCCTCCACCCTCGCGAGGGGCTGGGCTTTCTCCCTCCAGCAAGAGCCGAAAGCCTCTTCAGGCCCGGAGGAGGCTGGGCCGAGTGGGGGTGGGTGAGGTGGCGGGCGAGCTCCCTTTTCGGGCAGTACCCCTCTACGCGAGGAGGACAAAGCGTCAGAGCTCCCGGGGTCATCGACCCGGGCGCAATGCGCAAGGAGGGCTTCGTCGGGCAAGAAAGGCACTGCGTCCGGGTGCGGACAGGGCTAGGGGGGAAAGGCCGAGTTGTGTGCACTAGAGAGCGAGAGCCCGGCGCGCTCCGGGTCTGAAACTACCTGTAGCTGCAGCTACCTGCCCGCCCTACCTCAGAAACAACAATGCTTCGCGTGCGCGCGCGCGCGCGCGCGTGTTTGGTACGTGAGTGTGTGTGCGCGGCGTGTGCGGTGTGTGTGCAGCAGCCACTCCACACCCCGATCCGTAGTATTTTGCTGTATCCAGGTTGCGCCCGGGAGCGCGGCACCGCCCGCTTTGCGCCGGGCGCAGCTTTCCTCTTACCCCATGCACAGCGCACTCCACCCGGCCGCACCCTCCACACCTGGGCAAGGACCTGGGCTCCCGGCCCCTGGAGTCAGCTTGGCTTCACTCACCCCTCCCCTCTCTCCCCCGCTCTCCGCAGAGAATGTGATGGACATCGGTCTGACCAACGAGAAGCCCAACCCGGAACTCTCTTATTCCGGCTCCTTCCAGCCAGCCCCCGGCAACAAGACCGTGACCTACTTGGGAAAGTTCGCCTTCGACTCCCCTTCTAACTGGTGCCAGGACAACATCATTAGCCTCATGAGTGCTGGCATCTTGGGAGTGCCCCCGGCCTCAGGGGCACTCAGCACGCAGACCTCTACGGCCAGCATGGTGCAGCCACCGCAGGGCGACGTGGAGGCCATGTATCCGGCGCTGCCCCCCTATTCTAACTGCAGTGATCTCTACTCGGAGCCTGTGTCTTTCCACGACCCCCAGGGCAACCCCGGGCTCGCCTATTCCCCCCAGGATTATCAATCGGCCAAGCCGGCCTTGGACAGCAATCTCTTCCCCATGATTCCTGACTACAACATATACCACCACCCCAACGACATGGGCTCTATTCCGGAGCACAAGCCCTTCCAGGGCATGGACCCCATCCGAGTCAACCCGCCCCCTATTACTCCCCTGGAGACGATCAAGGCATTCAAAGACAAGCAAATCCATCCAGGCTTCAGCAGCCTGCCCCAGCCGCCTCTCACGCTCAAGCCCATCCGGCCCCGCAAGTACCCCAACCGACCCAGCAAGACCCCGCTCCACGAGAGGCCCCACGCGTGCCCGGCAGAGGGCTGCGATCGCCGCTTCAGCCGCTCGGACGAGCTGACCCGGCACCTGCGCATCCACACTGGCCACAAGCCCTTCCAGTGCCGGATCTGTATGCGGAGCTTCAGTCGCAGCGACCACCTTACCACTCACATCCGCACGCATACGGGCGAGAAGCCCTTTGCCTGTGAGTTCTGCGGGCGCAAGTTTGCGCGCAGCGACGAGCGCAAGCGCCATGCCAAGATCCACCTCAAGCAAAAGGAGAAGAAGGCGGAGAAGGGGGGTGCGCCTTCCGCGTCCTCAGCGCCCCCAGTGTCCCTGGCCCCTGTGGTCACCACCTGTGCCTGAGGCTCGGGCCCCCAGATTTCCACTTTTCCCCTCCAGTGTCTCCCTGCTGCTAGCCTGAAAGCAGCGGGAAAGCTAGCCACGGAGGCGCAGGGGTGGCTCCCTGGCCTCTCCATGGACGTAAGGCCCCTTGTCCCCCTTCGAAGTCCCCCGTTTCCACCCTTTCACACCGGCCAACCGTCGGGGGCCAGGGCAGGAGGCGCCTTGTCCCCCCACCCCTTTAGCCAAGGCGTAGGAGGTGGAAAGGTGGCGTCTAGCCCGCTTTGTTCAGTTCGGATCGTCTTGATCCAGGGGCCTCTGGGCTGCGCCAAGGACCTGCGGGGGACTGAAGGCGGGGCCCGCCTAAGTCTCGTCTGACCTAAGCACCTCACGGGTCTCCCCAAGTCTCCTTCGGTTCTCCCTCGAAGGAAGATCCGAGACGGGGGAGAGGGTAAGCAGCGCACCAAAGCGCAGAGCTTGCTGCCTGCCGCACGCACGCGCGCCTGCGTGCGGGGATGCGCGCGAGTGTGCGTGCTGGCGTGAGTGTATGTGCGTGTGTGTGTGTGTGTGTGTGCGCGCGCGCGCGCCTGTGTGTCAGACTCTTGAGCTGAACTGGGCTGCGTCCACCCCAAACTCTTCCCTACATCGGGTCTCCAGGCCCCTGGGGACTGTCCCAGGCTGGGGGCCTGCACGTGGCCAGATGAGAAGGGTCTTCCATCTGCTCGGAAATAATGTTTCTCACAGAAATGCCTCGGATGCCACCGCCGCGGCGCCGCTACTGCCGCTTAGGGTTCGGTCCCTCCCTCGGAACCTCACCTTTTCCAAGCACTTCCCTGTTAGGCCTCAGAGCAGTTTGATTTGCGGGGGGGAAAGCAGCTATTCCTGAACCTGTCTTTTTAAAAATTATTTCCTCAGCCTCACTTTTAAAAATCTACGTCCTGAGTTTGCCCTCTGCCCTTCCCCCCTTCTCCCCTCTAAGCCTTCTCCCATCTTGTTCAAAATCTTTTCCCGGAAAGGCAGGCCTCAACCGGCCACCCCATTTCACCTTTTTGTCTTCTCCCACTCACATACCTGTGTCTTCTCCCCCCTTTGGTGGAGAAGCAAGCTCTTTTTTTGCCCTTGGTCAACAGGTAGACTTCAAATCTATGTATGTGGGGGGGGGGTGCACACACACATATATATACATATATGACATACACACGATACGTATTCCTATCAAAATAAAATTTCTAAGGTACTTGGCTATTCAGTGCAGTGCACTGGAATAAAATGGTTTATTTTTTATGAAAAATTTAACAGATTATATCTATATATGTGTGTGTGCACTCAAGTATATATACATACATGTGTCTGTTATGTATGTATATATACATACATATACATGCATACACATCTCTGTCCAAGTTTTCCTCCTGAGACATGGAGATTTTTGCATTCACCCATGTTGACTAACGAGGTGTACCTTTTCCATGCCCCCCTCTCACCTTCTCCCTGCCCTACCTCACCTCCTCTGAGGCACCCCCCCGCCCCCAGCCAGTCTCCACCCAGGGGTCACTCTTTCAGAGTGGAGCGGTAGGGAAGGCTGCTCTCTGACACAGCTTCCAGCGCAGGCCTGACTGAATGTACTGTCCCCTATCCGCATTATTTCTCCTGTGGTCAGCGAGCTGCCCGGAGAGGAGGAACAAAGGTCTGGAGTTTACAGAATGTCTGTTTTTAAAGTCACTTTATGCGTTACCCACCTTTTTTTTTTTTTTTAAGAAAAAAAAGCACTGTTTTTTTTTTTGTTTTGTTTTTTGGTGTTTTTTTTTTTTGGTGGCAGATAAATAATACTAAAAGAAGTCTAGTGAAAGGGAAAAATCAAAGAGCAGGGGGTTGTGGATTTCCAGGCACTTGGACTTTTTGTAGAAGGAGAGAGAAGAGGACGAAGTTTGCTAGGAGGGCTCATATTTTTTCAGCTGAGAGGTAAAATCTTTCTTTGCAGAGACAGTATTTTGCTGAATACTTTTTATAATGTGATGATTATTAAAAACAAAAATTTTGGTCACTTCAAAGCTGGAAGGAGGAATCAGATACCCTTTAATATTTTCCTGCTCCTTCCGGCTCGTGCATGTCACTGCATGATGACTTTGAGTTCCCTTTGTTTTAATACAACTGTTCTCAGACATTTAAGCTAAACTAAGAGAAAAATAACTTTGTTGCCAAAACGTTGTGCTATCCAGATTTTTTTTATATGTCTGCATGTTTTAAAAAACAAAAAAACAAAAAAATGCACTCTAACTTATGTGAACTGAGAGAAAAAAATCAGGTTTTAAACAGGAAAACCTATGGGGAATGATATTTTTTGAAAGACTTTTGTATAAAGTTGAGTACTTAGAAAAAGACAAACCAGATGTAATATATTTTGTGGATGTTTTTATTTCTTGGATTTATAGTACCTTATACTAAGGTTAAAAAAATATGCTTGATATTGTGAAAAGGTGAGATTCTTCACCAACATTTCATCTGCTCCTTTGTCACATTGTTATGCCGATATAATATAGTTCATGAAAACAGCATTTTTAAAAACCGAAATATTGAAATGGTGTAATGTTGTACCATTTGCACTGTGAGCAAATGCTAATACAGTAAATATATTGTGTTTGCTGACAATCAGCCGGCCTATAAATCTCCTTATTTTATTGTTTTCATAGCATAAAGTTTTGGTTTGGCCTGTTCTTTGTCTTGTTTTGTTTTTGGCTGGTTGTTGGTTTGATAGGTTCTTATGCCTGCTTTGCCGTTCTTGCTCTGAAAACCGTCCGTGTGGAAATGTGGGATTTGGTGTTACTGGGAGTTGGTCAGAACTTTGTGTGGCTCCGGTGGTGCCCGTGTTGAGTGTTCACTGTGGCTCCAAGAGAATAGAACTTTCCCCCACCCTCCTAGGGACTTTAAACTGCTGGAGAGATTACATGAGTGGATTAGACAAACTCATGGGATTTGAGGCTAGTGGCTGGAACCTTCCAGAACCCTTCTCTGTGGTTTCCAATGGGCATTTGAGGGTAGAAATAAGGAGCTCCCCTGATTTATGAACTACTCTCTGACGGTCACAGGGAGCACCAGAATGGGACCTCTGTGACGGGTGTCTTGCTAAAGCTTTTGAAGCTTGAAAAACAGGTGGAGACTTGAGAGGGGTTCTTCAGGGTTGGCAAGATAACCAGGGAGATTGGAAGCTCTTTTGTGGTCACATAATTGGGGGAGATCAGGTTTAAAGGTCTATAACTTCCATTCCACTTGGACAGGATTTTCCAGGCCTCGTATTTGTAGCTGCCTAGGAAAGGTGGTCCTGGCTGAAACCTGTGTTTATGAGCTACCCAGGGATATGATGCTTTGAGATAAGAAAGAACATTCAGGTTTGGAGAACATACAGGGAATGTATTTACTGCAGTAACCCCTCACATCTTACAACTTCTGTCTCTCATGAAAGTGATGCTTGCCCTCTGAGCTTTCTTCCCAGAACCTTCCCTGTTCTTAACTGAGTTTACTTGCCAGCCATATAGCTTCCTCTGGGACAGATCTGTGCCTTCCACATCCTTCCTGTGCCCACATTTCCATCCTGTCCCCTCATCTGAGTTACTGTAGTCTTTACAATCCTTCATCCCCGTGAGGCTTGTCTCAGAGCGGGCTTTGGACAAGCGAGCTCTGTCCCTCTCCCTTTCTCCCAAACTCCCCTTAAAACATTTCCCTGCTTCTCTCTCATGCATTTCTGAGTATTATCTGCCATACCAAAGGGTCAGGGCTCGGTGTACGATACTGAGCTATGTAAATGGAGCACCACACATGACTGGGAGACAGTGTCTCAGTGCCTGAGGTACCAGCCAGGCCAGCCATGCAATGACAGAAGTGTATATCCTTCCTGCTTGGAAACTGCTCTTGCTGCCCCAGTGCAGGCCCATCACAGTGAAGAATGTGGGTGGTATTTCTGGTTGGCTGTAGTTACCAAGAAGCTGAGGGCAGACTTGGGTGGAGGAGGTGGGCTGTGGCTTTAGAAAAGAATGTTTTTGAAGTAAGAGATCAATAAAGAGAATGCAGTATGGAATCTAAAAGTTTCTCACCCACGCAATTCTAGGTTATTGGCTGCCATCTTGAATTCCCTTCTCTCACCTCACAAAACTTGGAAAATTCCAAACTACAACTTCACGTACAGCTGCAAGGAAGCAACCATTTTTTTTTTAACAAAAGGAATCTGAGATGACCAAAAAGTCCCGATGATTGAGCATATATACTCCATCTCTTTGCTCAACTAGATTGTTCCTTCCAGATTTCTATGTGTTTTTCAAGTGAATATTATCAGAGGAAGATAGCGTCACTGGGTGTCTTCTTAGTTAGCCTCCAGCCCCACCTGCATCCTCTCCAGTCAAACCAGGCCTTCGGAGTAGCACTTTCGTCAACAGCGTGCTATGCCGCATGATTAATAAACTCATTTCCCATTGGTGCATATTACTCAACCCAACCTGGTTCAACCACTGGGTTACTTGGCAATATGGCAGCCCGCCTAGCTGGCACCAGCCCTGTGTGGTGTAATCTCTGATTCACACTTTGTAGCTAGATAAGGCTATCTCTGATAGCATCACACCAGCAACCCAACCTGCCCAGGTTTGTAAATATGAGGAGAGGAAACTCAACCCTGAAACTTAGGGATGAAGTGGGGAGACAGTGGAAGAAAGGTCTGGCTGGGGCTATCATGAGAAGGATGCTGTGGAGGCTTTGCAAAGGACAGGCTCAGGAGCAAAATCAGGCCTAAATACATGGAAGAGGGAGAAGCCTCACTCTTTCCAAGCAACTCCTAAGGTGTTTGAGGACAGATGAATGGATATCCCCCGACACACACTCCTGGAGAGTGGCACACTGAAGGCAATGCCGGAAAACTGTACTTGGTGAACTGGGGTTAGATGCAAATGAGGCAATACTTTGACAGAACTGAGGCAAGGAGTGGCGTATATTTGTATATGGTGGTGGTGGTGGTAGTGATGAGTGTGTTTAAGTGTGTGTCTATTATTCACAAGCATATAAAAAGGAAAAGCAAGGTGGATTCTGATAAGTGGATGCCGTAGCTTATGGCCAGCCACTACTGCTCCCCTTTTGCTGGTCCAGAATTTGCCTGCTATAGATGAGGGGGTTGTGAGTTGCCTTTTCCTGGCCTTGCTTGGCTTGCAGGTGGGGCTGGAGGCTAACTAATAATAAACCTAGGGAAATAGGAGGCCTCCGTGTGTCCCAAAGACTAGAAATCATACTGGCCAAATCTTAACAACTAGGAGAAAATGACTTTCTAAAAGGTACTATGGGGTTTTAAGAATAGATCATAATCCCAAGTTTGTTGCAAGTGGTTCTTTTTAGAAAACCTACTCTTTGTGCACAAAGGAATGAGGTCTCCAGAGGAAGAGGAAAGACCCCAGGGAATGTCAGAGCCCCTCAGTCACACCAGTCCCTGGGACAGCCCTAAGGACATACTCACTCACCATTGCCACCCACAGAGGCCAGGCACAGTCCCATCCTCCCCAGCTTCTCCCAGCAACCCAGCTCTTGAAACTTCACCAGTCTCTTTGCGTCAAGTTTCCTCTCTACCCTAGCTTTAACATTTCCAATGGCTGGTTATTTTCAAGAACAGAGGTGTGATGGGGCTTTCCCTGGCTTGCACTAAAGTCTCTGACACTCCCATGCCCAAGCAGGAAGGGACCAGGTCCGGATGCTTTCAGCCCAAGATCTTCATTCCCTAACCTCATCATGGCTGCTTGGTCTGGAATCTGGACTTGGGATGACCTTGTCACCACCCCTGCTGGCCAGCAGGGGAACAGTGTTCCTCTGTCCCCCAATCTCCCTGTGAAAATGCTGTTTCTTCCCTTCCGGCAAACACGCAGATGGCTAGAAGAAAGGCTTCTGAGCAATGTTACTGAGGAGCTAATGCAAACAGAACATGACCACAAAGCCACAAACAAGGAGAATGAGAGGATACAAGGTTCCAGGTAGTGGGGACTACTCAACAAAAATATTCTAACTTCTAGGTTGGACAGGAGTTTGGTTTCATCATATGATTTCTTTAATGTCTTCAGGGAGCTCACCACCCCCAGCACATTCTCTCATGGCCAAGACTCCCAATCATCCAACTCTGTCATTGTCCTAACAGTGTCCACAGGACCCTGCTCATTGTCCATGGATGTAATCACGGGCTAGCCTTCCTTGGGAACCCTGCCCTGGGCCTTCAGCCACCTTTACCTTTCATGGAGGCACCACGACCCAACCAGAAACAGACTGCTCTTCTCTGACCCAGCCAACAGCAGAATTGAGTTCCCTCTTGGGTTGCCCAGTGAGTTCCTAATTATTGTCTCAGTAACGCTTCTGCCTCTTGACTCCCGGGAAGAAAAGAGAAGTCTGCCGCCCCTGAGGCTAGGGACATCCCAGCCTTCCACAAGGGAAATTACCCTTGTCCACAGACTTGTATTCTCTGGGGTGGCTTGGCCCAGGGAGTGACCCCCACCCAGAATGCATCAGGTCCCTGTCTCCAACAAAGAGAGATTAGTGACCAGAAGAGAACTGGGTCTCTAGGCCCTTTGTCTTCTTCTCAAAGACAGGATGCAAGAGCTGGGGCCCTTTGTACTCAACATTTAGCCTCTCCAGGTTGTCCAGGTACCTTCCACTCCTCCTCGTTCCCTTCTCCCTGCTACTCAGGAAGTCCAGACCATGGGAGTAGGAAGGCAGAATACTTTTAGTGCCTGTGCAGCCTCAGGGTACTAAGGAAAGCCTTCTCTGGGCCACTTGTTACTTACTCCTGTCTCTGTCCTGGACTTCGAGAGGCAGTTTGATAACCCAGCAGCACTGCAGCTGTTCCCTTGGGACCCTTAACCAGCTCTGAAATCATCACCTCCACCCTGGATCTCAATCTCCACTCTGCCACTTTCTTGCAGTGTGACTATCAACAAGTTTCTTAGTCTCTCCAAGCCTCAGCATCCTCCTGTCTTATCATTGCTGTCGTAGGGTTCAAATGAGGTCATGGATATGATGCCCGGTTCACTGTGGGTGCTTCATAAATGTGAGTTATCTTCCTTATCCCTCGTCCCGGTCGCCTTTCCCCAGCTTCCAAACACAGATGTGAGAAAGAGGGCTCTGTTTCCCCCAGGGATCAGTACACTGATTCAGGCACAGCAGAGGCACCTGAGTCCTCACCTCCACTTCCAACTCTGGCCATCTACTGCACATCTGGAGTCTGGGAAGAGATCCTCCACATCACCTCCCTATCTACCCCTTTTGGCCACAGCTGCTGTTACTGGTGCCATTCCTGGCCTGGTTCCTGACCCCTGCCCAGGTCCTTTTGTCTCTCTCCTACTTAGATGGGTGGATGTAACACCTTCCTGATCCAGTATCATCTGCAAAGTTAATTAATGTGTCATTGGGCTGTTGCCTGCTTCCTGATCCTTATCAGGGATTTAAATAAAACGCAGCAGCCCCAGTTCTTGCCCGTCCATCCCTCTCCCTGAATCTGAGGCTTATTATTAGTCATCAGTCCTTGACCTCAGCTTTCTGGCCAGTTCTGAGTTTCCAGCCTCAGGCCAGGTGGTGCTACCCCTGCCCAACCCTCGTCTGGGGGCAGCAGAACCATCCAGGGCTTTAATGGAAGTGATGTTCTGGGAGAGAATCGTGGGTATGGGAGTCCTGACCTCATCCTACCTCCTGGA